TTCTATGAATAAGTTTGGTTTGGGCATTAGATAAAAAGGAGGCTATTTGAATTGAAAGAAAGCTGTAGTTTACAGAAATGGATTATGAGGCCAGTTTGGTAGGAATGGCCAGCCCCTGTATAAATGTTTCATAAATGTCTTTAGATCAGGTCTGAATACTTTTATTGTACTGTTACTCGTTACAGAGGTGACTCTGCAATCTCTTGTCCATTGCAAATTGATACTGGTTTACTGAAGTCATTATTGCTGTTTTCTTTGGTAGGCTTTGTGGTACTGAATAAGTGTGTTTGGGAATGCAACTCAGATTTTTAATTGCCTAGGAAAATTTCCTTTTTTAATTTAAACTGCTGGTCTACTCATCTTACTCTGTAGCTGAACATTGAAATTAAATGTTAAGATTTGGTTGCTTTCATTGTTCTAGATAGTGTACTTCTCACGTGGGCATTTTAGTCTACAAAAAAAAGTACTGTGGTACCATTATATCCAACTTTTCACTGTTGCTTTAATTATTCTAGCTATCTTACTATGCACTGCTGCATGCAATAATTCTCTTTAATTAAAAGTATTCCCTTTCAGGTCATTCCCGTTCAGTTCCACAGGCTATTTTACAGAAATCAGTAGCTTCACCTTTTAAAAGCATTCCCTGTGCATTTGCAAAGTGCAACAGAATTTATGTGCTGAGAATAGTTTCATTCTTCAGTTAGGCCTTAAGTTTGACCCTATAAAAACTTTTACTCAGGAAAGGCCCAGAATTTCTCCCCTTAAATACTTCAGGAAAAACATAACTGTTTTGTTAAATAAACCTGGCCATTTGATAGCGTAAATGAGGGTGGTGATAAAATGTGGAAATTGTTCGAAGGCATCTTGTATAAATTATCGCCTTGGCTACACTCCTCCAGGAGGTGGCTTTTATCTCCACTTTAACTAGAAACGAAAATTCACCATTACTGCAGAAAACGAAGGCTATCTTTTTAGTCCAGGTTCAGCTAATAAATGCTTTATAACTGTTTCCTGAAATTCATTTGTGATCCTGCAGCGGGGAAGAAGCAGTATCAGAAGTACATGTTGGTAGCTTCAAATTGGGCTATTTGCATAATTCGAGTTTACAGAGTGCTGCTGCTCAGAGGCAAGCACTTGTATTTGGTGTGTGCCTGATGCTGACACTTAGCAGGCCTCTGAGGCCCAGCAGCCAAAAATAACAGCAAAATTATACCTCTGAGATACATAATTTGTTTTCTGACAGATTTTTACAAATAAGCCTTTACCTTCAGGAAATAGAGATTCTTCTAAATATTGTCTGCCATGATTGCTTACCTGGTTATTTCTGTTTTGTCGTGGTAATGCTGAAAGAAAATGATAAAAGATTTTTAGTTTCTAAAGACATTTCGCTCAGCGCGTAGTAACCAAGACACAACATCACTTGATACATTTTAGTAGCAAAACACCCATGCCTTGTTCATGTTCTAAGTGTGATTTTTCCAACTCATCAGTAATGACTGGGAATCCTGTTTTAATAGGAGTTGTTGGTGGATCACCTTTGTTCTAAGCCAAAATAGGAGATCATCCCTCTGGCAGTTAGTGTAGTTGCTGTTAAGGAAATGTTGTACTAAGAAAACATTTAACATCATTTTAGTCAAGGCCACACGCAACCCCCAAACCCTGAAAAAGTCAAAACTGACATAGAGTGCGAGACTTGTGGAACTGGGTAACTGCATGCTGTCAGCCCAGTGACTGCAGATCACAGCCATGTGATAGATGAGGATTCAAGGCTCTTATCTAAAAAACAAATAAACTTCAAAATAATCCTGAAATGTTACTAATTTCTGTATGTTTTTCTGACATAAAGTACCCAGAGAAATGTGACAAAATACAGCTTGCTTTCATGATGCCATGTTGGTTTTGTTCTAAATAGAATGGGACTGGAAGCTCTGGTAGAGTCTTATGCCTTCTGGAGACCTTCACTGAGGACACTTACATTTGAAGATATACCTGGGATACCCAAGCAAGGTAATGGTCATCTTCATGTTCTTTCAAACCAAAAATTCATGGAGATAAATCTTCACCCATCATTCTTGACAAAAATCCAAGTGCAGAGGAAAACCAACCCCAGTGCAGGACATCACCTGTCATCAGAGTTAGAATCTAAGTTAGAAAACTAATGCTGACTTAACCACTGTGGCAGGAAAAATGTTAGATGGTAAAGATAAATCAGATCTCATGTGGAAGAAGATGCCAGTTATTTAAGCAGAAAATAACCTATTTCTTAGTGTGGCTAGACACACAGGGCAGAGATAATTTATAGATGACTTCACATCTAAACTCCAATATGGGAATTACTTGTGTGTTTAAGAGAAGAAAAAGGAATGAAAGAAGAAATGTCCTGTAAATAATGAAACAGTAGTGACAAGCTTAGTTGGGTTTCGGCCTTGGAAAGCCTTCTTGAGCTTGAAAAAACGGAGCTCCTCTCCATTTTGCTTTTTCCTGCTCCCCAGTCTATAACTTCTTGGCTGTAGTGCTGTGGGGAAAGGAGGGTTATTTTATGTTCTGTTTTGACAGAGAAGGCAGTCTACTTTTTTTCTGAGTTCCTTTATTTTCAAAGCATCATTAGGCGTATAGAAAATCTCTCAGCTGTTTCCCAACTAAAATCAGACATCTTGCTCTGGATTCTTCACATTTCCTGCCTCCTTGTTAGTACATTCCAGAGTCATTAAGCATTTTCAGAACAAAACCCCAGAAAATATGGAAATACATGGAAATAGCTTTTATCAACTTCTCCTTAGCCCAGTCCTTTGAGAAATCTTGAACATCAATGCCTGATGTGTGCAATTAAAAAGGAGTTCCTGTGCCAAGTCACAGATGGAGTGGATGAAGGCTGGCAAAGTTTTGGGTGGAGTGGGCCCTTATAAAATTGTCCTGTTGTGAGAAGCAAGCATCAAACCTGAAACAGTTTGTCAGGCTGTGTAAGACTGAAAGACGGTGTGCTGCTATAATGCCCTGTTTGTATATATTGCACTGTTTGAGAGCAGGGGAACTGCTGCCATGAACTTCCCGCTTCCTTTTCTGCTGTTGCTTGAGGTTAAGGAGCTCGTTGATGTTCAGAGGATGGGATCTGGGATCCTTGCAAACTCTTCAGTCGTCTACACCTTGGACAGTTAGAGTAGTTGAGACACTTGCTGAAAGACCCTGTTAGAAGTCTGTTGTGATTGTTAATGCTGGAAGTGCCCCTCTTCAGATAGCGAAGGCATTGATGTAGATTGGAAGAAAACTGGGTATGCCTTGCACCAGGATTTCTGGAAGGTGGCAGTGGCTCATGGTACTTTGTGCCTGTTGTGGCCTGGTTACAGAGCAAAAAGCAGGAAGAGGTCATTGATACTGTACTGATAAAGTATTTTTCTTTTTTCTACCTCACCTTTTGTGAAAACCTCTTAACTTATTGGCAGCGCGTATCTCATTGCAGCATCAAGCTGTTTGATTGTTAATGTGATTCACAAACAGGAGAGTCTTTCTGGTTAAGTGCCTTCTGCCTGGGAGACTGTGAAAGGCCCAAATTAATATTTTTACACTGATTTTTTCAGGGAGATACAGTTGCTAAGGAAAGGAGGCGTTTCTCTCATCTGAGAAACTGTCAGTCCTGAGAAAGGCTTTACCTGTAGCAAGCATTGCATTTTTCGGAGCATTCAGCACTGGTATTTGTCATGTAAAAAGTTCTGATACCAGTAAATCAACAGTTTGTGAACAGTTTGCTGCAAACCTAAACCTCCACTTACCCATTCAAGAAATGAAGCAGCCATGCACAGTACTCAGCCTGCACTTTCCCTGGAGTTGTTCTGAAGTTTTGTTTTCAAGTTTTTTGGTCTGAAGTTTTGTTGTGAATTTGCCTGAGGCTGTTGGACTGTGGGAGCCTGTATCGATCTGAGCTAAGGAGCTGGTTCCGTAGCTGGTGGTGCTCTGATGGTGACAGTCAGGCACAGAGAGCTTGAAATACACGCTGGGGTGTAGCAACAGGAAAGGCAACACAAAATTCATAACTTTGCAGAAGGCCTCTCGTGATGTGGGAGAAGTGATGTGTGAGTTCTCGTGACTCGTCTGCCTACATCTTAGCTGCCATGCAGCTTGCTTCAAATGAAGAGTAGTTAACTTTTCAGGCAGGAGCTCCAAGCATTGAGTGATGATTGCAGAAGTGTAATTTATGTTTTTCTCCTTGGACAAGTTGTTTCTTTAAAAATATGCATGTGCCACGCACACAGATACACACACACACACACACACACCCCTGCACATGTATGTACAATAGTTTTGGAATGAATTTGCCTTGTGTTTCATGTCAAGGATTATTATAAAAGACAAAGGTCTTGATCTGTCACCTAGGAAGTGAACTTTTCCCAACATGCTTCTTACACTGTAATATTCTCTTCCAGGAAATGCAGGTTCCTCTACTTTACTCCAGGGATCTGGCACTGGAGTGCCATCTACCCACCCTCACCTTTTACCGGGTTCCCCTTGCTCATCTCCAGCCTTCCACCTCAGTCCCAACACTAGCCAGCTCTGTAGCCTTGCTCCAGCTGACTACACAGCTTGTGCCCGCTCAGGCTTGACCCTGAACAGATACAGCACTTCTCTGGCTGAAACCTACAACAGGCTCACAAACCAAACCAGTGAGACGTTTGCACCCCCGAGGACTCCCTCCTATGTTGGTGTGTCGAGTAGCACAACTGTGAATATGTCTATGAGTGGCAATGATGGGGATGCATTCAGCTGCCCGCAGACTGGCTTATCTATGCAGATTTCAGGGATGTCTCCGCAGCTCCAGTACATCATGCCATCCCCATCCAGCAATGCCTTTACCACTAATCAAACCCACCAAGGCTCCTACAACACGTTTAGACTGCACAGTCCCTGTGCGCTCTATGGATATAACTTTTCCACATCCCCTAAACTGGCTGCCAGTCCTGAGAAAATCGTTTCTTCCCAAGGAAGTTTCTTGGGGTCCTCGCCAAGTGGAACCATGACGGATCGGCAGATGTTGCCCCCTGTGGAAGGAGTGCACTTACTTAGCAGTGGGGGGCAGCAGAATTTCTTTGACTCTAGGACCCTAGGAAGCTTAACACTCTCGTCTTCTCAAGTGTCTGCACATATGGTTTGATGAAGCCTTTAAGTAAAAGTACAGTATGTTTGGTGTCTACAATGTATTTCTTCTGGAATATGAAAGGACACTCGATGGAGCTTGTAAAGTGTGTGTATATATAATATGAGAGGAAGTTTCACTGAATTTTTGACTTGCTTGTGGCCAGATTATTCTCTTTTTCTGAGTTACACGGAGTTTGCTGCGGCGCAGACTGCTTTAGTTTTCTGGTATAATACACTTAGTTGTATAACACGTTGGGACATATGCAACAAATTAAGTAAGACTTCCTCCCCTTTCCCCCTCCTCTGTTCTAACCCCTTTAAAGAATGAAATGACACTTGGAGTATTAAACAACACAAACAAGCCCACTTACATTTCCTATAGTACTAGTGAGTTGCTTTAAAACATTCATACTATGATAAGATGATGCACCAAAGGCATTTTATAAGTTTCTTCTCTGTTATAGGGCATATGAAGGGTATTTGGACTTTTAAGTGTTAAACATCAAACATCCAGCCTGAAATAGAAGTTTAGCTAATGGATTATTTACAAAGTAAATGGGAAGATCAGTTTGCCTTCTCTTGCTATGCTGTTTTTAGCTTATCAACAGCACAGCATTCTCACTAGGATTTTGGGTTTTTTTGTTCAACATTAGTCTGGATTTATGATTAGGTATTTGACGACAAATAATGTATATTCAAATTACGGTGATGGGAGTAATTTAAACCAACAGCAGCAGAAGTGGCATTCCTTGGTACAGAATGAACTTTTGAGTGCTTCATTTTCATCAAAGGAAGGGCTTGCTACATTTTTCCTCCATAAATATTGCCTATAAGACATTTACTGGACAGTAGGATATTCTAATGTATCTTTGTTTTTGTATTTTTACTTTTTTTTTAAAGAAGAACACAGGTTTAATTTAGAAAAAAAGAAAAAGCAAGCAGGATGAGAAATTCTATTATTGGTTTTACTTGTTTGTGTGTGGGTTTGAGTTTTTTTTTTTTTTAATCAGGGAAAAAAGTCCTCCATCCTCCCATCGCCAGTGTCAACTAGGCAGATGACCCAGTTTGCCCACAAGCAGTTCTGGAAGCAGAACTTAGTCATAGCTGCCTTTCAGATTTTACATTTTCCTCTGATCAGTTTTTTTGATGAAGCTGGATTGTTGCATTTCTCAAGAGTTCCTGTGTCTTTTCTGGCAAACAGTGGGCTTAACCACTCCCACTTCAAGAAAGGCTCATTGCAGCTAATATTTCTTCAGTGGGATGAGATAATGCGTGCAGAAACAGCCCTCTCGCTATCTCCTCTTATTATTTGGGAATAGAAGAGAAACCACAGTGGTCTTTAAGCTTGTGTCTGGAGAAGGCTTTATTTCTATTAGTTACATATTTGTTTATGTTAAAGAAGACACATATAAAGTTCTCATTCAAAGCCAGGAAGATGAGAGTATGCAATTACGGAGATGGGGGTTTGCCTCTTTGTTGTCCCAAACTTCCCAAGTGACCTTGGGCAATTCACTCAGCCTCTCTTATCTAATTTTTTCTGCTTTAAAATGTGATAATAGAACTTCTCTGCCTCCCAGGAAAGGGTAACAGTACACTGAAGATGATCATCTTTACATCTGCTGCACAGTACATTACAGGTGAATGTCTAGGTAGTGTTCATGTTCATATATGAGGATAACAAAGAGCATTTGTGTGCTTCAGGTCTGTTACTAGTTTTGGCATTGCAGTGTCCTTTGAGGCAGACCTCCTACCGGAGACTTGCAATGCTAAAAACACTATTCAGAAATCTCACACTGAGGATTTGTGAAATAGTTCTAAGAGGTGTAGAAGATGGGCAAATTTTCGCTTATGTAAATTGTCATAGCTCTTTTGGTTTAAATTAACAAGAAACTTGTGTATAGTAATACCTGCTCTAGCCAAAACTTTGAAATGTTGCAGTTGGACAAATCTTTAAATGGGAAGAGTAATCTGTATAATTCTTCCGTACTTGGAAAAGGATAAAGATAATTATCCGTGTCATCTTAAGGGCTGCGACTACATCAAAATGTGGAAGAGCTAAATCATGCATGCTCCTACAAAAGAGAATAAAAAGGGTTGTGCGTGGATGTTCATGGAGGTGCTCCTGGCAGGAGTATGTACTTTTATCGACTGGGATTTTTTTAGAACTGGTCTCTTACTTTTCCTCAAATTATTCTTATCATATAACCACACAGTATTGTTTGAAACATTTGTTCCTTAAAATTTGAATCATATTGTAAATACTTACTGGTGTGTCATTGTGAAAAGACTAGCTTTTTATCAATATAGTAAATGCTATATACGCATTATATATATAATTATATATCTGTATTTTACAAAAATGCCACAGAAAATATATTAAAGTGTGTATTCCAACACTTTTTACTACATTTGGAAAACTGAGGGGCTTGGGCCTTTTTTTTTTTCCTACAACTTCAGCAAGACCAAAAGAAGTGACTCTTAAGGTAAGCTCTGAAATTCGGAGACTTAATACAACAAGCTGCAATGATCCAACTAATCAACCATTTGTGCATGGTTCAGTTTAACCGTCTGCTGTTGAACCTCTCTGTTACTTGTGTGCAAAGGCTACCACAGATGTTGGGCACAAGGAGGTGCTGAGGCTGGTAGCAGAACTGTGAGGTTTTTGTGTGGGAAGAAGGGATGGAGCAGCTTGCCGGGCTCATTAGCCAGTGATGGAGCCTTACTGGTTCCTTACTGGTTCCCAGCTCATCTTGGCTGCCAAGACCAGTTCAGCTGCCTCGTAACATCCAGAACTGGGAAGTTGTCACTTCCATGTGACCAGGAGCTTGAGCAGGAGCTCTTTACCCTGCATATTTTGTCTCTCTGCTCTTGTTTTGGTCATTCCCTCTCTGTTCTGCTTAGTTTAAAAACAAAAATCCATCATTTCCTAAGGCACAATTTACAGCCCATAATCAGCTGGGTATACTGTTACTCAGCAATGAGCAACATTTCTCCCTCCAGAAATCCTGCTATGTGTAGTGGCCTTATTTCCTATTGTACTGCAATAAATGATTCCATGTGACACAGGGCACGGGGCCTGAAAATCTGATTACTTTAGAGACGAGGGTTTCAGAGTCACTTAACACCAGCATTGTTGCAAATGACCAGAATTAGGGCAAGAGAAGTAGGCATGAAATGCTTGATCATAAATATCAGGCCTCGAGAGAGTAGGAAAGCTTCTGTTTTTAATAAGAGAAGAGGCTTTTTTGGAATAGCACAATCAGACTCTGGGAGGGCTCCTTTCTGCTTCAACAGAGGACAACATGCGAAACTTCAAAATCATGGACAGTGTTGGCATTAATGCTAGCAAGTCTATACTGTGAGCAGTTCAACAGAAGGAACTTTAGTCGTCATCAAAAGTAGTTCACAGGTTCTGTGTGTGTTTTTCCTGTAAAGATAATATATCTAATTAGTCTGTATAGAAGTGTTTTTAAAAAGACTGAAGAGTAGCCACTTTTAGAGGTTTATGTACCAACTTCACATATGAAACTACTTTCTTGTTTCACTCTTGAGAATACGCTGTTAAACTCTCATTACGCTAATGTTTGTTTACTTCGAAGCCCAGGTTTTAATATAAAGAACTGCACTTGATCATAATGTGGTAATGGTTAGTCTTTGTGGGCTGACTTTTCACTTCGACTGACAAAATATATTGACTTGTCAGTTGAGCTCTTCATTAATATGATCCTCAGATTCAATATTTTGCCTCGTTTTTAACACAAAGTGGTTGATATGTCAATTCAATATATGCAAAATCACAGGAAAATGAATGTTCTGCTTTATTTTACCCCATATTCCTCAGTTTACGCAGTTCATTCAAAACACTGACACGCCAAGATGACACACACTTTTAAGAGGTGATGACTTGCTTCATTAGGAAATGACATTTCCAGAGAATTCAATTTGCTTTAAATGTTTTTTGTCAGTGTTTTTATATTAATGCTGTGAAAAGGTGTTGGTTATCCAAAAATGCCAAAGTCCTATGCAGTCACCCCTTCCTCTTGCAAAGCAGTGTCAGAAGTATCTCAGATACTTTGGTGCCCAGAGCCCAGACAGAGCAGTTCCAGCAAATGAGAATCTGAATCTTCTGGACATAGTTGGAGAAAGATACAACCCTGAATTAGTGATAGTTTTATCATCTATTGTGTATATTCAATCTGAATACTCTTCTGAAAAGGCTAAAGCTGAAGCGTCGTACAGGGCTTTTCTAGGTCTGTCCTTGCCAAACATGACCTGCTGCAGGCTGTCTGAAAGCCCGTCCCTTCTTAAAATACAGTCACTCTTGCAGCTGCTTGCCGCCTTTAGGCTCTCACCTTGCGAAAGCACTGGACAGATTTTCAGGGGAAGAGGTCAGTGCCTGCTCCACTGCTAGTTATTACCCTCACGTATCCTACAGCAGACTCATTACCCACAGTGAAGTAAATAGTCCTACTAAATGTCAGCCATGATGTTGGTCTCAGTTTCACAATTTGAAGTCCGTAAAGTAAACGTTTTAAAGAAACTTCAGTACATCGTAAGATCAGTACTGCTATCAGGGAAATACTGTGGGCAAATAGAAACGCCCTCCTGAAATTTATTTGCCGGTCACCTTCTGTTCAGTGGTTTATGACCCTTAAAATGTTAATAGCTCCTATCTTCCACTCCACCAGAATGAACATTAAACCTCCAGGAGCTGGATACATTTCCAAATTTTTCCCTTGTGGCTTTTTTTAAACGTTGGAGATAATACCTAGGTTTCAAGACAAGTGCCTGGGCTCCAGTTCTGCAGCAGGGAATGGCAGGAGAAGCGGAGATGGACCCAGCAATCCTACTGTGCACTTTGAGATGTCACAGGTACTGTGATGGCACCCGCAATGTATAGTTCCATCTGAATACGTCTCAGTGCATCTCTCACAGGAGTCTGTAGCCTAAAACGAGAGCTGATGTGGAAGCCTGGTCAAGAAGGGTAAAGCGTGATGTGAAAATACTTGTGCTACCTGGAAGTTGGGCTACTGCGGTGAACGTTAAGTGTAGCCCCAGGACAGACCGAGCCTATGTCAGCACAGCACCCACTGGGACTATGCCGTGCCCTTACATTT